AGTTTCTAGACAGGGAAGTGGTCCCCAATTGGCAGTGGATGCAGTGGGGTGTCACATGGAAGGGTGATTTGGCAATGCAGGGCCACAGGCCCAGCCCGAGGGCTTCCTGAGGGCTGGATGTGATTCCTGCAAAGAGAACCACCTGCTGAGCACCCTAACCAGGTGGCTCGGAGGGCCAGCGGGGCAGGGCTTCCCTCCCGGGCCTGCTGCCCAGGAAGTGGTCACGCTGCCCTGGACCTGCTGAGTCAGGAAACTGTCTGTCTCCTGCGAATCCTAGGAACGTCTGGTCTTCTTCCTCCACCCAGCCTACACGCCAGGCCTGGGCCAATGTTTGCAGAAATAAATGGGGAAGAGTCTGGAGGCCCATTCCTGGAAGGACAGCAGGGACTGGCAGAGCAGACCAGGAACCAGAAACGGTTGTTATTTTTGAGCACGTGATGGACACTCCCGTGGCTGAGGGCCCGGCCTTGCCCCATGGCGCCCTCGGGAAGGCAAAGCCTCCTAGCCGGGGCGGCTGCGAGCCCGCTGGGTCCTCGGACAGCCGGCCAGGCGGGGGGCTGAGGTTGTGCTGTACTGTGGCGCCTGGCCAGTGCCAGTGGGAGTGGGGGATCTGGGCCAGGCGGGGCCAGTTTCCGATAACGAGGCAGCCAGGCCTGGGGCAAGCCCTGCGGAGGATGTGTCGGTCCCTGGGCGGCAGGGGCACGCGGGAGTCCGGGAAGCAGAGGCTATCCTGGGTTCCAATCCCAAGCTCCACGTAATGGTCCTTCGTTTCACACATGACTATCGAGCGGGGCCAGACACCGTTTTCTCACGAGTGTGGAAGACAAACCCCAAAACAGACAATTCAAAGACGGCGTAGAAGGGGCGCTGGTGGGATGATGCAGACATGACGGGCGCCCGGGGCCTGCGTACCTGTCTGGGGCCGGGCTGGAGCCTGGAGCCCGAGGAGGAGTTCGGGGCAAAGTGGGCAGAGACGATGGGCCGGGAGCGGAGCGTGCTGAGCTCAGGGGAGTCCTCCCCAGGCGACAAAGCAGGAGGAAGTCCAGCCGGGGTCTCCCACAAAAAGGAATTTGTGGGCTCACAGCGCGATCCCCTAACTGGGTTTCCAGTGAGGCCCCCTTCAGCCGCCGGCACTGTGAGCTCCGGGCTCCTTGAGCACTCATTCGCGTATTTCTTCTTCCTTTTTCCATGCTTGAAGAACAGAGAACCCTTGGGTCTGCCTCTGGGACTGGGCCTGCGGTCCCCCGCGGCCACACCGCCCAGCAGGCCTGGAGGGGCGCGCTCTGGAGCTGGTGTGTGGCTCCCGTCGGTCTCCCCAGCAGACCAGGAGTTCTGGGAGCTGCAGCTGCTGGACCACAAACACGCCTGCAGCTGCTTGTCCGTCGGCCCAGCTCACTGCCCCGTGCCCTGAGGCTTGGCCGGGAATTGGAGAGCCCAGAGCAGAACAGCGGGTGGGGGGAGGCAGCTCCATTTGGTGTCGGGGTTCACCTTGACACCGCAGGAGTTTCTCCACAAGCAGTGGGGCCCCTGGGCCAGACGCTGGGGAGACTGGGCAGCCCACCTGGGGGAGAGTCTGCCCACTGCAGGCAGAGCAGAGGGCCCCGGACAAGGCCTGGGTAGCCCCTCACTGAAGGGGTACACGGGTGGTGGGGGGAGGAGCACAGGCAGGCAGCCGAGAAGGAACGTCAGTGAGGGGGTTGCACGAAGGCGGTCTGGGGCGGTTCAGGTCGCAGGAGCAGGAGGGTGGTCTGAGCGTCACTCACCTGTGAGCACCCCCCTGCCCCGGTGCCCCAGGCCATGCGCATTCTCACCCAAGCCCCCCCCCCCAAGTCTATGCTGTGAAGATGCTGCTAGGGATCTGGGAAAGGAGTTGACCAAGGGCTGCTGGGGAAGCTGACAGAGGCCGCCGAGAAGGTGCCGGGGAGACACCGTGCCCCAGACTACTTTTGGGCGTCCTCCCGCCTTTTCAGCCAATCCAGAGGGCTCCGCCTGAACTGAGTTAACGGGCACAGCCCACCCACGCTCTCTCGAGCCTCGCTGGTCCAGGGAAGATCGCGTGACCTCATCCCAGTCAGGGAGCTCCAGGCCCGGACTTGAGAAATAGGAGCTGCACTTCTGTGCTGACCCCACAGCGTGAGACGTGTGAGGGCTGGCGCTGCTGCAGCCCTCTTGCCGGCTGGAGGCTGACTCTGAGTAGGGACAGTGCGTGCTGGGAAACGGAGCTGCATCAGAGCGGACCAGGTAAATGCGCTCCGCCGAGGCTCTCGCCGGCCCCTGGAACCTTGCGATCGAACTTTACCACTAACGAGCCGGTATGTCCTCGGCTTTGCTAGCTCGGGTTGCCCTTCCCGAACTGACCCGCTACGTGCGGTCAGGGCCGGGCTGGTCACTCATCACCCCACAGCTCAGTGGCCAAGGCAACGGAGCTGGACTCGTCTGGAAGTCCTGGTCTTGGCGGGGTTCACAGCCCTCCCTTTGCCCTGCTCGGCTGGGAAGATGGGGACAACCAGGCACACGGGAGGCCCCGGTGGCCATGACTGGGGTCACTGTCGACGTTTCATCTCTAGAAGGCCTCAGCCGTCTGGGACAGGGGCTGGGAAGCTGGGCGGACTGCTCTGCAGGGCTGTCAAAGGAGGGGCTGCCGGAAATCAGAGGGTTCCCGTGAGCTTTCTTACAGACTGTCCCTCAGCTTGTGTGTGAGGCGTCCCTGGGGCTGGAAGACTGCCCTTTGGCAGCAGACGTGACGGGAGGCAGGGCTCTGCCCCGATCCTCGTCTCGGGGGGTGTGAAGTAGGGGTCCCGTGTGGGGACTTGGGGGTCCTGCCTTCTTAACAGCCCTCCCACCCGCTGCTGGGCGGAATGTCTGTGAGCCAGCCCAAGTTGTGCAGCTGGAAAAGAATTGTTTGAGGAGATAAAACAATAATTGAGGGTGGTTTGTGTTGTAGCAAAAAGTAACCAGTAGGGTAAAGGAAAAATAAAACGCCAGTTAACCTAAAAGCGCATTTCCCGCCAGGGAGGAGTCTGGGAATTCCTTCCGCAGGCGCCCACCCAGCTCCTTCCCTATCACAGTGGTTCCTGCTACTGACTGCTGGGGGACGGATGCCCCCTTCGCTGGGGGACCGTCACCCCTCCGGGAAGGAGCCCAGCTTGCCTGCCTCCCCACCGGCCACAAGGCTGGAGGCAGCGAGAGCGTCTTCAGCAAGACCAGAGCCCTCCCCAGAGCACCCCCAACTAGCCACACACACCCTTCAGACTTTGCAGCTGTTTTTATTAATAATATTATCTTCTCCGTTAAGCATCCCTTTAAGGGTGAAATGAAATCCAACCATTTACAGAGAAAATGATTTCAGAATGTACATATTGATTTCCCTTACAAAAAAAATACTACTACTGTTGTCGGTGTCCTTGACGATCACGCCCCCGGCTGCCGCTCACGGCAAGCGGCCTCCCACCCCGCTGCCGCTCTGTCCCCAGAGCTCTGGCCCTACAGTCCCTGGGAACCCACATGGCGGGCGGGGGGGGGGGGGGGGGGCTGGGTCCCTTGAGCACAGGTCATCGGGTCACTGGTTCCCAGGGAAAGAAGTCTGGGGTGGTGACGGGGTCGGGGGCTCACATTCACAGTGTGGCTTCCCTTCATACTGGGGGAGTGGTCCTGAGCTCCCCTGCACCCGAGACTCACCAGAGGCTGACGTGATTCTTCCTGATGCGCTTCAGCCCCTGCCCCTCCCGACAGCGCCCTCTCCCCAGGCCTGGGCCCACCTGCAGTTACCTCGCCGACCTGGGTCAGCAGGAAGCGGCCTGGAGGACCCCTCTGCCCAGCTGTTGAATCGAGGCTGGACCCCTGCCAGCCTGGGGAGGGGCAGCCCACAGCAGCTGAGGGTGAGGACGAAGCCCTGGGCTGGGGTTCAGGCACAACGCAGGGGCCCTCAGGGGCCCCTATGCAGGGGTGAGCAGGGGAGCGGAGAGGGCAGCCCTGGCTAGGCTGCCCAGGAGCGAGGGACGCCTGACCTCTTTGAGACACTCTGAGATTCCCTTGGGGGTGCCCTTAGACAGGAGGGAGAGTGGGGGCGATCGAGCCCCCGCAGCCTGCTTCATGCCTGCCCCCAGAGGCTGCTCTGCGGCCAGCTCCCCCGCCAGGCCCACACGGGGCACGGACCCAAGCGAGGCGTTGGCCGAGGGGGCACCCTCCTTGCTGGCCCATCAGGACAGTCCTACAACACACCGAGAAAGTCCCTGCCGGAGAAGGGTGTGGCCGGGGGGACGGGGGGTAGGGGGGCTGGGAGGTAGTGAGCTCGCAGCTGTGCAGCCCCAGGTCAGGAGGACCCCCACTCCGTGGACTGAAAGACAGACAGACAGACAGATCCCACGTTCCCTGGGGCCTTGCTTTCCGGGACCCCAAGGCTCTCTGGCCTGTGATTTTGGGGAGCTGCAGGAAGTGCGGCCGCAGTTTCCAGGACCCAGGTGGGGGCAGCCCGGGCCTGCACCCACACCCACACACAAGCGTATATTTATAGGAGACACAGACACGAACAAGTACACACCACGCATGCACCCATGCCATAAATACGCACGCACACACAACACGTACCGTTCCACAGGCAGCTCTGAGCCGCACCCCTGAGGGGGCGCCCCGCCCCTCCCCGAACTGCAGGTTCTCACTGGCCGGCAGCTGGGGGAAGCAGGAGCAGATTCTTTCAAGAGCGCTTAGCAAGAGACTTGCGTAAGCACCCACTCGGGCTGCCCCACACCCCCCACAGCAGCCCAGCTGCAGACCTCTCCCAGCCTCCCTTGCAGTGACTCGTGGTCACGTGACCAAGACCTGGTCACTGAGATGCCGCAAGCAGCGACAGAAGTGCCGGCCACCCCGGCTCCACTCCTAACAGGAAAGGGGCGTGGCCCCCTGCCTTCCCCCCCCGGCCAGCAGGCGCACCGGGGGGAAGGTGGAAGCCCCTGGCCGCCAGCCCAGGGCCATTCCTTCTGGACAGGAAGTGCGAAACTAGCTGGTCTTGCGTAAACCAATGTATTTGGGGGTCTCGATTACAGCAGCTGAGCACATACGCGAATGCAGACACCCCCACCCCCACGAGACAAACTGCGAGGAGGGAGATGACAGGCCGCGGCCCGACGTCCCCCGTGGCCCCGCCAGCCCCGAGGAAGGGCACAGGGTGACTGGGGCTGTGCGCTCCAACAAGAAGGGGGAGCCCCCACTTCCTGCCACTGCCCCTACCGCGGCCCCAAGGTCCAACCTCCCAGACCTGCCCGCAGCCGCGTCCTGCCCCCACTGCCCCAGAACTGAGCTCCGGCCTCAGGGGCTGGGCGGGCGGCCCCCAGGATGGCAACGTAAAGAGTAACAGGGCTCCGCAGGCCAGGTCTGGGGCCAAAGGGGCTCACGGGGCTCCCCCCGGCCCGACCACGCCCGGGAGCACAGGGCCACCTGCCGGCAGCGCCATGGAGCACGGGGTGGACCATCCTCCCGGCTGCTGTCCACCCCTCCCACCCTGATGTCCCCTCTTCTCCTGATCCCAAATGCAACTATTTACAGAGCCCGGGGACCCCCGCACCCCCCATCCCACTGCAGGCCCGGAGTGCAGGGACAAGCCAGGGCTCTCCCACACGCTGCCCTGGGCGCCCCCCGCCCCCCCATGCACTCTCCGTGGGCGCCCAGCCCCGGCATCTTCGGCCGAGGGCAGGGCCACCCTCCCTCTCCAGTCCAGGGGAGGGCGCTCTTCAAGCTCACAGGCGGACGCCTGCTTCACAGGGCTGAGGTAGGGAAGGCTCCCGGCCGCCCTCCCTGCCCGCCTAAGAACCACCCAGAGGGCGGGAGGAGGCAGGAAGGCATCGGGTGGGCCGGCACCTGCCCCGCCACTGGCCTTCTCGCGGTGCCGGCTTAGCCTTCCACCACACCGGGTTTGCTCCCGGAGGGGGGCCTCCCGGGGGGGCCCTTGGGCTCCCGGTAGGGGTTGTCCAGCAGGTAGCGGAACTGGTCGTAGTTCTTGAGCAGGTACTTGGGGGCGTACATGTGCTCGGTAGGGTCCGCGGGCGGGTACTCCTGCTGAGTGCCATCGAACCAGCCCCCCGTGCGGATCAGACTCCGGATGTAGTTGAGGTCCCGTTTGTCCTCGTAGTCACCCCAGCGGGGGAAGTCGCCGTTCTGGGCCGACACCAGCTTGAAGTAGATGCCCTCGGGCGTGAAGCACCAGGAGCAGTGCCAGCCGGCGAAGTGCAGCGGGCTGCCCAGCGACCACTGCACCAGGATGTGGCCGGTGCGGTTCTCGTACTGCCGGAAGTTGGGCATGGTGTAGTACTGGCGGCGGCGCAGGCGGATGCCGTCCAGCCCGTACACCGTCCGCAGCATGTCCACCGTGCAGCCCGACACCACCTCCAGCGTGCCCGGCTGCTTCCAGAAGAAGCCGTAGAGCGACTTGCGCATGTGGAAGGCGAAGGGCTCCGTCCAGCCGTCGTACAGCTTGAGGAACAGCACGCCGTCGCGCGCGGGGATCTCGTCCGCGTCGTCGATGATGAAGACGTCGTCGGGCCGCAGGTTGCGCAGTCGGGACACGCCGTCCTGGGTCAGGAAGGTGCGCAGGTAGTCGTCGGCGATCCAGCCGTCCTGCCGCCCGCCCAGCGGGAAGTGGTCCAGGAAGACGTAGAGCACCTTGTGGCGGATGTACTCGAAGGTGCCGTTGGTCAGCATCTCCCGGAACTTGAGCGGCCGCGGCTCCCCGTACGCCGTGAAGTTGGACTCGCACACCACGAAGGCGTCCACCACGTCGCCCAGCTCGTGGAAGCGCACGTCCAGCAGGTCGAACTCGTGGTTGATGTTGATGGCGTTGATGACGCGCCGCGGCACCTCGCGCGGCACCAGGCGCTCCTTGGTGGGCAGGTTGGAGTACTGCACCACCGTGGGCACGCCGCAGCTCGGCCCGTGCCAGCCGGGCAGGCACACGCACTCCACCCACTTCCTGCGCGCGCCGCGGCCGCCCGCGCGCTCCCGGGTGCTCAGCGCGCGCCGCCCGGGCTGCCGCGCGGGGGCGCCCTCGCCCCCCTCCGCCTTCTCCTCCGGCCGCCCCGACGGGGACTTCTCCAGCATCTTGGTGCCGGGTTTGAAGCAGACGCCCCCGGCTTTGGTGCGCACGAAGTACTCGGTGGTGTCCTCGGGCAGCACGAAGTCCATCCGGTGGAGCTCCTCCGTGGCCTTGCTGGGTGACAGCGGCTGCAGCAGGGGCGAGTCGGAATAAAGTGGGGTGCGCAGCAGGTCTGGGCCCCCGGGCTCCTGGCTGGCTTGGGGCGTGACGGGCGCATTGCTCCAGAAGAAGCTGGACACCAGGTTCGGGCTGAGGGAGGCCAGTTCCCGGGGGAAGGTGACATAGGACAAGGTCTTAAAGAAATGCAGGAAGGAGATGAGGCACAGGCCGGCCATACAGAACATGAGAAAGAGCTTGTAGCGTCTCATCTTCATCCTGCAGGGCACAGGGAGACACGCGTCAGGGGCCTGCGGACCTGGGACGGCGCCCAGGCAGCCTCCGCTGCCTCGTTTGTGACTGTCCTGGTCAGTACCTGGTGCCAAACTTCTCCCCAGGCGTCAAGCCTGGAAGTCCAAGTCCCCCCGTCAGGAACCGCGGACACCCCGCATGAAGGAGCCTCCCAGCCTGCCCCTGCTCCCCTGGGGAGACCAGCAGGTCCCCACACCCCCATGCAGTCTGCTCCTCCGCCAGGCGACACACCCAGGCCATCCCAGTGCACGGCTGGGCGTCCTGGGGAAAGCTCCCTCTCCCAGAGCAAAGCCTGCCCAGGGGCGCTCAGGCCGAGGGCGGGGTCCCCCCCCCCCCAGTCCTGAGCAGGGTGCTGCTCTTGTCGTCTCTGCCTCTCCATCAGTCTCTTTCCTTTCTCCATCAGTACCTTTGCACTGAAAAGATAAGAGTGCACCTGTCTCTAGGGGTCACATTCACCCTAACGAGTCAAAGAAAGACCTCATGAGCCCCCACCTGCCGGCCCCCGCCTTGCCTAGGCCCTCTCCTGGCGCAGGCTGGACCTGGGGAGGTAAGCGGAGGGTCTGACAGGCACGTTTTCTGCTCTCGGTTCAATATTTTTCATAAACAAGATCACACTGGACACTAGTCCAATCACGTGGCTTTCCTTGATCAATGATTAGATTTCAGCATCAGCAGAAATAAATCCCGATTTCCCTTCGAAACCCCACATCACAGCGCGTGGTTCTTCGAGTGCCACTCTTCGATCTATTTTCACGTATCAATTAGTTCACGGCCGGGGAAGGGAGGTTTTGTCTTTATTTTACAGCTGCAATAGACCTTCCTTTCTAGAGTATGTGTAGCTTGTCAGGGAAGTTGCCAGGCGACACAGAGGCCCCCTGCCCGCCTGGCCCGGCTCAGGTCCCTCATGGAAGCCAGATGGGCAGGAGTGCCGCTCGCCCAGCTCACTCTGCCGTCCCCCTGTTCCAGCAAGGCCGGCAGCAGGGCGCTCCCCAAGGTACCCTCAAGGCCCGCTCGTCCCGCCCCGCCCCGCCGGCAGGGACAGGCAGGAAGCCCGCTCCGTCAGGCCTGACCGCCGCCTGGCCGGGGCTTGCCTGTCGCCAGAGGGCTGGGACAGGATCCAAGCCCCCTGTCGTCCCTGTGGGCGGGGCTGCCCTTCCACCTAGAACATTTCTTCCCTTAACGCGTTCTTTTCTGAGGCTTCTCCTTCCTTCTCTCCCTCACTCCTAGCTCTGCGGACAGGTCAGTGTGGAGAGTGGCCGGCTCGGCTTCGAGCTGCTGTGACCTCCAGCCGCCCTGCACCACTTGGGACCTCCGTGTCTACATCTGTGAGATGGGCACAGAGCTCCTGGGATGCGGTGGGTGCCCCCAACCTCTGGGGCCCTCCACGGTGGAGCCTGGATCGCCCCACAGTGCCTGTCTAAGCCGCCGGCCGTACGCGGGCACCTGAAGAGCTGGTGTGGGGCATGGCGGAGGGGCCAGCACTGCAGTTTAGAGAGGAAACCAGGGCCGAGGGGCTTCGCCCTGCTGGGTTACAAAGCTGGGCGCGCACCTGGGTGCCCCCCGCCCTGAGTCCTAGCAAGCTGGTGAGGAACAGTGGGGTCTCCCTCCCGCCAGCCAGGCCATGCTGTCTGGCCCAGCACACCCGCCCCCCAGAACCCTCGCCGTGGTTGGCACGGCTGGTCGCAGGCAGCGGGCAGGACAACCGGGTGCAGATGGGCGCCTGCGAACAGAGCTACTCCCCCGGGTGGGGGGAGGCAGCGCAGGGGGAGGGGGAGCTCCTGGCCCGCATTTGCAGCAGGTTTCTGGGCTCCTCTCCACTGTGGACCCAGCGGGTCTGGCAGACCAGCTGGCAGGGAGAGTGGCGGGGCTCAGCGCGAGGCCCGTGAGGGGAGCCCCGGCGCCACGCAGCCCCACACACGCCCGGAGTGACACAGCAAAGGGGTGTCAGGCCCCGATCCCGCTGGCTGGCTATTTTCTCCTCACTTGGGACCTGCCTCGGGAGGGGCAGGGGTGGGGGATTGTAGCTGAGTGACTGAGCCGGCCATGAGCTGCAGAGGGCAGGGCCGGGCCCGCAGCAAAAGGCTTGGCAGGGTGTCAGGGAGGGCGGGGTGTCAGGGAGGGCGGGGTGTCTAGTGGTGTAAGGGGCTCCTGTGGCCCCAGCAGGTCACACTGACCCAGCTGCCCCTCGAATGCCCAACAGGCTGGTTTTCAGGATCGGGTTGCACCGCCAGCTGTGCCCTCTGGAGGTGACTCCTCAGAGCCTGGGGCTCCCTCACAGGGACCTCTGGGGGTCTGGTTAAGGCACGGCCTGCGACTGAGAACCGTGGGACTGGGCCCTCTTCACCAGGGCTGCTGGACGCTTCATGCACACTGTGGTGGGTCTGGAGCAAGTCAGTGACCCGAAGGACACATTTCACATTTCGGGGGACACCTTCATTCATGGCTGCTTGTAGTTTTTCAACTCTTTTTGGCCTGACTCCTTTTGACCTTATCTTTATCTATCTTTTTTTAAAGATTTATTTATTTATGCATACAGAAGTGGGGTGCGGGCGTGGTGAGAGGATGCACCAGAGACAGAATGGGGAGCAAAGTGCACTGAGGGGAGCGGCGGGCGGGTCAGGAGAGGTCTGCCGTGCCCTGTGGGTCACCTCCAGGCAGGGATCGGGCTGCACTTCCACCCGCTGCGCCGCCAGGGAGGGCCCGTCTTCACGGTCTTGCTAAGTGCTACAGCATCTGCTGAGTGGCCTCCTAGTAGAAACCAGGAATCAACAGCACGGGCACCCAGGTCTCCCTTAAGCCTTTCAACCATCCTGCCAGGACGCTCAAACGACAACCGCAGAGTTGGGGAAGCGACACAAAGACGGCCAGACTTCCCGCCCAGGACAGGAGCGGGCGGCTGGGTCGGGCCCGGACTGGCTCTGTGTGAACGCCGGGCTCTCCCGGCAGCCGAGACAGCGGGCTCACCCCGACCGCTCTGCCTCCGTCACAAAGCGCCACCGAGCAGCCACGGGCACGGCGGAGCTGCGAGACAGACACGAGCCGCTGCCCGGGCTCAGCGCATGCCGTGGCCACAGCCGGTGTGCAGGGAAGCACGTTCCGGGCAGCAAGGAGAGGCCACTCCCCAGGGCCGCCCCGGTCGTGCTGGCCACGTGGCTCACGGGGGGAAGCAGCGCTCCCATGGCCGGCCCCAGGCCGGCCCCCAGCCCTCTTCCCGGCTGCCCCAGGCGGAATGAACAGTCTTCCGGGCTCAAGCGGTCACTGTGAGCTCGACTCGAGGCCGTTCAGCTGCGGGACCCCTCCCTGCGTACACGTGTGTCGCGGTCCTGCCTGCCCGGCTCGGGTGAGCCCACGAATCAGACGCTGGTCCACGGCCTGCGCCTTTCCCAGCGCCCACCACCTGGGGCTCATCTCCCAGCGTGTCTCCCTAGCTGGACTCGAGCAGCCTGGACAGCGCTGGACACCGCGGGGCTCGAGCCGCGCCCTGCCCCCCCCTCAGCAGGCGCTGGCTCCCGCGTGCAGTCTCTGGCGCTGCCAGTCACGTGGGTGCTCTGAGCACTCCTTTTTCGTATCTATACAAGGGAGGTTCAGCGATCGCCTGCAGTGCCTGGCACACGAGGTGCCCCGTGGGCTTCGCTCTTCTTACCACCGCGGCTATTCCCCAGCTCGGCAGAGTTGGGGTGAGCAGAGCGGAGCCCCCCAGTTGCCGTGAGTCTCAGCGCAGCAAGGAGCACTGCTTGGGGTTCAGCAAAGAGGGTCAGGGCAAATCCCGACCCTGCTGCTGAGGGCATGGGGAACAGCACCCCGTTTCCGGCGCTCCGGGGAATGGAGGGCCTGTGAGTCTCCCTAGAGGGGCTCTCACCCCCACACACGGAGCTGGCCCAGGGACTGGGCCTGCAGTCAGTGCGAGGGGCTGAGCAGGAGCTTCCCTGTAGCCAAATAATCACGCACACGGGAGGCTGCGCCGGCCAGGCCCTGGGGCCTCTCCATACTCTGCTCACCCGTGGCCATGGCCAAACCCCAGAAGGCCCCAGCTGGGCAAATGTTTTTCCTCCCTTCTCTTCCCACCTCTCCCTTCTCTTCTTTGAGCCCTTTTTCCTCAGCTATGTTTGGAAGGTTGATGGAGAAGGAAGGGAAGCAGATGAGCCCAAACCGGGGACCCCGTCATGACCCCGGGGTTGGGGCTCGGCTGAGGTGGGGGCTGGGCCCGTGGGCCGTGGCCTCCTGGTGCACAGCCCTGATCCTGACAGCTGTCGCCAGGGTGACCAGTGGCTCCTGTAGCGCTCTCCGTGGTGCTGAGATCGCCTGCGCTGACCAGGGTCCTAGCTTGGCCTTGAGGTGCCCCTGCTGGGCCCCACCCTGGCCGCTTGCCAGCCTCCTCCAGGTTCAGCAGCTCGTGTCCTAACGGGCACTTCCCCTGCCCGCCACCCTCTGGTCCCTCACCGTCTGATCCCTGGCGTCCTCGGCGCTGGGACGGTCCGCGGGGTCCTGCTCCCCCAGTCGAGAGAAGGGCTCCGCTGTGGGCTGTCAACCGGCCTGCTGCCTGACAGGCGCTCCGGGACCCTTGGGAAGCGTCCCCCAGCTCGCCTTCCACGCCCCAGCCCTGCCTCCACCCCCAGGGCTCCGCTCGGGTGCGTGCAGAAAGCAGGAGGGGCATCTCGACAGCCAAGTCTGCAGTGCCCAGCAGCTCTGAACCACCGGGCTGCCGGGCTGGCCGCTGGTCGTGACCGTCGGATCTGAACACACCTCTGACCCGACAAGCGCCCCACGTCTGTGCCTCGGCGGCCCGCCCTTCTCGTGGAGCGGAGCTAGAGCACGCCCGCCTCGCGGGGCTGAGCGGGGGCTGGGCCCCTGCGGTGGGCACCGGTCAGCCCAACTTCGCCGTTACTGAAAGCCAGAGCGCTCGGTTCGAATCCCAGCGCTGTAAGTTAGGAGCTGTGTGTCCTTGGGCCTTAGTCTTGTCCGATCTAGAAGGGTGGCCCCGGGGACAGGGATGAGCCTGGTGTCAGAGCATCCTGCAGGAAGCTGGCACGCAGCAGATGCTGTAAAAATGCCCACTTCTCTCCTTCCACTCGGTTCCCTGCCAGGTGACCTCACTGAACATACCACGTCTTATTCCTGGGCGGCTCAGCCGAAGGGCCAGGCCAGCCGAGGCTGCTCACCACTGATGGCCACCCACCACCCACAGGCCGGGGCTGGGGTGACCGGGCCTCCATACCTGGGGCAGCAGCTCGTGGACCTGAAGGGCCGGCGGGCGAGAATTCTCTCCAGCCCTCCACCCCAGGCCGGTGGCCCTGCCAAGTGTCCATCTGGTCTCTGCTCGTCCAGTTCTTGGCGCTGCCCCTCCCAAGCCCTCTGCGTGGCCAGGAATTCTCCCGTATTCACGGCACCATCCTCCCTGGAGCTTCCGTTACTGCTTCCCGATCCTTCTTGGGGCTGAAGGTTGGTATCTCAGGAACCAGAAGACAGGGCGCTCTTGGGACCTGGCGCCGGTTAATCGCGGGTCCTTCCAACGGGAGGTGCCACGGCCTCACCCGCAGGGGCTGCGGCACGGCCCCGAGGGCGGAGGGAGGGCAAGGGCGCAGCTTGTCTCTCCGCCTCGCTCCGTTCCCCCCACGGGCTCCCCGCGGGGCCACGGCTCTCTGCGGACACCTGGCGGGGCCTTGCTGATGCCGGGGCTGCCGCTGCACGGGTCGGGGGCATCGGCTCGGCTCGGGCCCGGCTGGCAGGCAGACACGTGTCTCCACCTCGAAGCTCCAGCAGACCGAGCACCTCGCTCGGCCCCGCAGGGAGACCAAGACTCCCGGGGCGACGGGCCCCAGAGCACAGCAGGGCTGCCAAAGCGGCCGGCGGGCGAGGCAGGGCTGGTGTACGCAGTCCCCCAGGAAGTCTCGCCCTGGGCCCCAGGGCATCCGCCTTGCGGGCTCAAGGGCTCGAACCCCGCTGTGCGGCTCAGCCCGGGGGAGCCCTTCCCTCTGTGAACCCCGCCCGCCTCCCTGCAGGAGCAGCTCTGTGTGCCTGGCCCCCCCGACCCAGGCCCGCCAGCTGCCTGAGAAAGTCAGCTGGGTGCTCCCTGGGGCCTCCTCCCTCCCACTGCTCGCTGCCCACGCGGGGCCCCCAGGCACACCCGCGGGCAGTGGCGCCCCCGCAGTCCAGCAGTCACGACTGCTGGGGCCCTGGCCTCCGTCCCCTTGCCCTGTTCACGGTGGCAAGGGTGGTCCCTGCCTGTCAAATGCCTACGTATGTACCCCGGGACTTGTGTGCACCCACAGCCACCCTGGAGTCAGCCACTTGTACTGCCGCTGTATAGATGGGGAAACTGAGGCTCGGGAAGGTGGCAAAGCAACAATTAGGGCACCCCTCTGCTTGCTGGTGCCAACCCTCTCCTCTGCTGGGCCAGAGACCCACAGCCTCCGTTTAGGGGGGCTGGGAGGGTGCAGGTGCCCGCATTCTGGGGCCTCAGTTTCCTCACAAGTTGGGGACATAATGGCATCCACACCACGGGCCGTGGGCAAGTGCCCGGAACAGCGCCTGGCAGACCGGACGCTGGCGCACGTGTCTGGGGCAACACGGGGCACGTGGTGGGCACCTGTCGCAGGAGCAGAGATGAGGGACCTGGGGGCAGCTCTGGGAGGGGCCGGGCGCAGCCCAGCTTCCACGCCCGAAGGGCCGGAGTCCTCGGAGTGGCCGGTGAGCCAGAGCTCCGGCTAGCCGCAGCTGCACTGCCGAGAGTCAGCTCGCTCTCTGAAGCCCGGCACCGGCCTCCGTGTCCTGCCCGCGCCTGCTAACAGGGCACCGTCCTGGCCGCGAGGGAGTCTGCTGTCTGGTGCCGCGCTCCCTGCCCGCCTGGCACCTTTCCCGAAACCACGAGAGCCCAACTCTGCCGCCTCCCTCACCTTGCCAGCTTCGACTGGCCGCAGGGAGGTGGTGGCCGGTCGCTCTCTCGCCCTGGTGCGCTTGCTAGAACACTCTGGACTTCCTGGGAGAATGTTCCGCTCTCGCACCGTGAGCCGCCCTCCTCCTGGGCTCCGTCACCGCCGCTGGCCGTCGGGGAGCGACCCGCCCCCCCCGCCGCGTGAGTTAGCTCCGGCCTCGTTTCAAGTCTGTCTCAGAGAATGACAGGCGGCGGGCTGGCGACGGGGCCTGGCGGGGGCCGCTCGGACACACCCACCCTCACCGCCTAAGCTCCCTGTCTGCCCTGGGCCTGGTCTGGGAGGCCCCACAAGCGACAACAGTAACGCCGACGCGCACACACGCTGGCCACGCCCGAGAAGTGCCTGTCGTGGTGCAGAGGGGCCGCTCGGGACGGGGCGGGGCGGCGAGACGTGCTCTCGGGCTGGCCGCGCCTCTATGCATACAAACGCGTGGACGCAGCCCAGGGGCGGGGCGCAGAGGGCACTGAGAAGACTGGGAGCAGAGGTACTGGGAGCAGAGGTGCCGGGGTCGGGCCCCGTGGGGGCTACGCGCCTCCCACCCCCGCGCCTCCGTCCCTCGGGCCGCCCTCAACCCCAGCCCATTCGGCCCCGCCCCCAGCAGCCAGGAGCCCCCAGCAGCCAGGAGCCCCCACCGCAGCGGGTCCCCGGGAAGCGCAGCCGCGTGCCCTGGGCAGGTGCCCCCAGGGCCTCAGCGTTCCCACCTTCGGATGGGTCCTGGAGACCCCAGAGAGGACTGCCTGGCTCGGGGATACTCCCAAGGGCCACCCTCACCTCTGCATGGTTCCCGGGGGCTGGGGAGTGGCGAGCGGGGGGCTGGCCGGGGCAGGGCCGAGCAGCAGGCCAGCTGTGGACGCCGGTGAAATCCCAGCCGGCAGATGCTCAGTTATTAACAGAGCGCGGATCGGAGGAAGACGCGGCTTCTTCCAGTCTTGAGCGCAGGCTTGCTGCCAGCTCTCCATCAGTCCGGGCGGGTCACTGCTGCGCCCAGCAGCCCGCCGAGGCCCGGGGGCGAACCCCCACAGCTGCCCTGCGCCAGTCACCGCCTCGGGGAGCCCCTGGCCCTGCACGAAGACAGGCCGCAGCCCTCGGGCCTGTGCACGCCAGCGGAAGGGGGCTCAGCCTCGCCTTCTGGGCTCTCCCGGGAAGAGCGGACTGGGGCTGCTGAGCGCTTCCCGCCCCTGGGAGGGTCCCGCCCCACCCCCACCCATCACTCAGGACAGAGCGGGCAGCTCCAGGTGGGGCCGCGGTCCCCAGCATCCAGCTCAGAGGGAGCTGGGTTCGAGTCCTGCGCCCCTCTTCATGATCCCAGACAGGCCACCTCACCTCTGCGACCAGCCCCTCACCCCGAGGGTTAAACAGGGAACAGCCAGAAGTCTTGACACCACCACCCCTCACACCCCCACAGCCCAGACAGGTGCACACCTCACCACAGGCTTGGCTGCGGCTCTGCAAGGCCTGCAGGCGCCCCCCCCCGCCTCCCCACCCCCTAGCGGTCTAGACTTCCGAACGAGGGGCCCTGCACTTTGCTCGGCACTGGGCACCGCCAGTGCTGTCACTGCAAAGCCCACCAGGCCACACCTGCTCAGACTCCCCGCAACCTGCCGACCTGGCCACGCAGAGTGAAACCCAGCTCTCCCACAGGCCCTGGGCCGTGGGGCCCCGACCCTGTCCTCGCCGTGTCCCCTCCAGGCAGCTCCAGTCCCAGCCCCGTCCGAGCCAGGGCCTGTCGACTCCGGGCCCTCGCGCCGGCTGTTCCCTGTCCACACGCCCTTCCCTCGGTCCTCCACGGGCCAGCGCCTGCCACGCCCTCCCCGGGTCATCTCCTGGCCCCGGAGCCCGCGGTCTCCCTGTCTCTGTGACGCACCGTGTCCCACCCCACCCCACCCCTGGCTGCCATCAGGTCACCATCGCAGCTGCCCTGCCCCTTGCCCAGGCCTGGTCTGCGGCGGGCTCTTCATCGACACTGCGGGCGACCACTACAGACGCCTGCCGGGAAGAGCGGCGCACTCCAGCGACAGCGTCGTCTGCCCGCGGGCGTGGGCAGAGGCCTGGCCAGTGCGAGCCCAACCTAGAGGACCTTCTCCCCCTCTCCGGGGGCCCGGAGGAACCCCCCACGCGCCCGGACTGCCGAGATGAGCAGGGCCCTGCCCAGGCAGCCCGGCAGTGCCAGCCCCTCCTGCCAGCGCCGTCCGGAGACAATGCACAAAAGCCCACTTCACTGCAGAGCCTCCGCTCCGGCTCCAGCCCAGAGGCCTCAGGGAGGGGGACGAGTGGGGAAGGGAGAGGCGCCCACCCTCCCTGTCCCTCAGGGGCAGCCCAGCTAAGTCTGGGGAGGTCTTGTTCCGCAAGTCGCACCCTGGGAAGGAGGAGGGTACTGCCCAGGCGCACGGTGGGGGTGCCCGTGCACCAGGTGGGGTGTCAGGCACGGGTGGGGGTGGCCCCGAGCACAGGGAGCCAGTGCACACACGCCGGTGGTGGCCCAGCCTCGGGTGGGCAGCAAGTGCCAAGTGCCCCCGGCACCGGCCCGCGCACAGGGCAGCGGTGGCGGGGACACCTGTGCACCCAGACCCCAGGGCCGGCGAAGAGGGGGAGCAGACGGCTGGGCGTCAGGCCAGCCCCGCCAGGCCCGTCCCCAGCCTGCGGAACACCCGCGGCAGGCCAGGCGCAGAGCACGCTCCGACAGGGCCCACGGGGCACCCAGGGCCGCTCCGGCGGCTCCGGGATTTCTGAACATTTTCCTCTGGGCCCCGGCGCCCGGGGCCGAGACCCAGCTGCCCGCACGGGGGCTCACGGACCTCGTCTCCCTCCGCACATGCCTGAGCCTCTCCCGTCCACCCTCCCCCAGGCCACCGACCCCAAGGGCTGCACCACGGGAGCGCTCACCTGGCTGGACGCGGCCTTCCCACCGCCGGCCAAGCAAAAGCCAAACCGACACAGTCTCTGGGCTGGAACCCCTGCCCTGGGGATAAAGTCCAAGTCCGCTAGGAGACTCCAAGTTGCTGTGTGATCTTTCAACACCCTCCCCAAGCCCTCGCCTGGCTCTGGAGGCTCTGGACGGCCTTGCCCCAGGCCCGCCTGACCGCAGGCCAGCGCCCGGCCCCCTCGTCTCACCTGGCCCTGGCCACCTGTGCCCACCTGTGCCCCTGCTGCCCGGCCCTAGCACGGAGCCCGACAAAAAAGCGAAGTCAAGCTCAGCTTGGTGAATGAACAATCACCCAAACCCCTGCACGCACAGGGCGCTCCGGGCTCGGGAAAGCGGCCGAGGGGCCTGGTCCCGCCGCCCTGGGCTCGGTCCTTCACGCGGTCCACAGGTCCCCTCCGTGAGAGGCAGCGGTGGCCGGACACAGGGTGGCCGCTGGCCGGGAGGAGGGTGGGCAGGGAGAAGCGGAGAGTGACCCCTCATGCCCGGCCAGCCCCGCCCGCACCCAGCAGGGGCTTGACGAGCCCTGGCTCTGCCACCACTGCTCGGGGCCCAGGCAAGACCTCTGCCCGCGTGGGCTGGACACTGAGCGGGGGGAACGAGCCAGGCCGCCTGCAGGGCCCTCGGGTGAGGCCGCCCCAGCCCAGAGCCGGCACGTGGGAGGGCGGGTGACCACGCCTCGGCGACGCTGTGCCTCGCCGCGAAGAGCCCTGCTTGGCCTGAGAAGGGCCCCTCAGGCGAGAGCCGGGGTGCGGGTCAGCGCCCACGGCAGGTGTCACGAGACGCAGCAGCGACACTGAGAAGCCCGGCCCGCTCCTAGGTCCCCACCCCACGGGCCAGCTGCGCGTCCGTGGACTGCGCCCCACACATTGCGCGTCCGTGGACTGTCCCCCACACGCCAGCTGCGCGCCCGTGGACTGTCCCCCACACGCCAGCTGCGCGTCCGTGGACTGCTCGCTTCCTCGATCTTTTTCATCTTCCGTCTAATTCAAAATGAAACGAGGCCGTCCTGGAGCGGCTGCGACCTGGCGGGCGGCCGCCCTCGGCCCTCACAGCTCCGCACGTGGACTCTGGGGAGTCCCCTTCCGTCCCGCCGCCACCGTCGTAACGGGACACCTGCCGGTGCCGTGACCCGGGAACCCGAGGCTGTCAGCGCGGGCTCTGGGCACAGGACAGCCTCAGTGAGGCCAGACAACGGGCCTCTTCTCTGCTCCCTCCCAGTTATGCTCCGTCCACCTGCCTGCGTGCGGCCGCAGCACCTGTGGGTCAGGACCTGGCTGACCCCCGCAGCAAGCCCTCGCCCAAACGCAGGGCCCGCAGGCTGCAGGGCTGGGCGCTGCTCCGTGAGCTCCTTAGCCCGAGCATGCCGACACCCCAAACCAGGCCTGCAGGTTCTCAGCACCCCGGCCTGGGGAAGAAGAAAATGAAACAGCAGCAAACTGTCACCACAGGCAAGATCATGCCAGGATCAGTGGCCAGGGACCTGGTCTCAGCAACGCTGCTGGCCTCCGGGGGGCCCGGCACCCGAGGCAGCGCCCCCTTCCCGGGAGATGCGCCTGCCCCACACACCCCCACAAGTCCATTTCAGGCTGAGGAAACCGAGGCTGGCAAGCTCAGGCAGCGGGGAGGACTGGCACCCTGGCCTGGCTCAGCTGACGCTACGCTGGCGCACGGCGAAGGCCCCCTGCACCCTCAGAGCCTCAGTTTCCCCCCTGACCTGTGGGCATGGCCCCGACCCTCCAGCTCTGGGCAGTCTCCGTGTCCA